TCATCAGACTGTAGAGATAGGACAAGGGGTGATGGGTTCAAACTGAAACAGGGGAAGTTCTTCCTGTGAGGGTGCTGAGGCGCTGGCACAGGGTGCCCAGAGAAGTGATAAATACTCCATCCCTGGCAGTGCTCAAGGCCAGGCTGGACAAGGCTTGGGCTACATGGTCCAGTGTGAGGTGTCCTTGCCCATAACAAGGGGGTTGGAACTGGATGATCTTTAGGTCCTTTTGAATCCAAACCATTCTCTGATTCTAAGAGGGGAAGCTCCTGCAGTGTCCCCGCTGTCCCCTCGCACCTTGACAGACATGTTGTGGATGTCGAGGCAGAAAGAGATGCGCTGGTGAAAGGCCAACTGAGGCTCCCTCGTGGAGTAGATGTCGATCATCTCCTTCGACTGGACGTAGCCCTTCTCATGGTTAATGCTGGCCTCGATCACGCCGTCCCGGATGGCCTGCAAGCCGGAGCGCAGGTCAGGGCACCCGCTGGCTCCCGGGGCTGAGCTTTAGGGTGAAGGGAGGAGCTGGCTGCTGTGACAGGAGCGCTGGGCTCAGGACACAGCACACGGAGAAGGGACGTGGTGCCCTGAGTGTCCCCAGCGTCCCTTTGGAGGGGCCTCAACCTAAAACCAGTGACTGCCCCAGGGAGGGAGGCTGCTGCCAGGACTGGGGGCTGTGGGCAGCCCAGGGTGCAGGGGGACGGGACTCGGATGTAGGTACCTTGGCAACGATGAACTCTGCATCCTCTGGACTGTCCAGCTGCAGCTTCTGGGCAATGTCAGCCAGGGAGATGCGAGAGTAGGACAAGCTAATCATCCGGACACCTGCGAGGAGGGACAGGAGTGGAGCCCCCCGGGCCAGGCACCCCCGGGGTCCCCAGGTACCACCACTGCAGCCTCCTACCCGTCTTGATGACGTTGTGCCTCAGACGAATGATCAGGGTGTAGGTGCCATCAGCCTGGAACTTGTCCCCAAACTGATCAAGGACTTGGTTGAACTTGGCCAGGTTCCCAGTCCTGACGGCTGGAGGAGAGAAGGGGTTTGTCAGGGAAGGAGAATGGTGCGGAAGGAGAGGAGGGCAGATCCTGTCCTATGAGAAGCTGCCTCCTCCTCCTCCCCAAGTGGAGCCTGTAGCTGAGTCCCCTTGAGGAGAGAGGAAAGAAACCCCACTGCCCCCCTTCCCAAGGCTTCCTGCTCCCCCAAAGCCCGGGACATGGCTCAAGGAGCTGCCTGTTGTACCCTGAGTCAGGAGGAAGTAGGGCATGAGCGAGCGCTTGAGGGAGGGTTGTCTGAACTGGAGCCTGTCCGGGATCTCCCCCAGCAGCAGTTCCACCACGATGAGCAGCTTGTGCACCTTGAACAGAAAGAGACCATGTGAGCAGCAGCTTCCCTGAGGATCCAGGAGGATCCAAACCCTTCCCATCCCTGCTCACTGTCTGCTTGAAGCCAACAGCCGTGTGCTGCGGGGCCTTCCGCAGGGCGTTCGTCATGGTCCTCCGCGCCTCCGAGTACTCCAGCTGGATGGCCTTGATGCGCCCTGCGTTGAGACAGGCCACAAGGGGCTTGGAAAAGCAAACCCAACTGGATCCACTGGATCCAATCCTGTGGAAGCCCCACCTCCAGCTGCTCCAAGGGGCTCTGTGGGGAAGCAGAGCCCTTGTTCTCAAGCACGGCCGAAGCGTGGGACCCTCTGTCTCACCTGTGTAATAGAGGTACCGAGCCCACTCGTTGTTGTTGGCCTGCTCGGGAAACACAGACTTGGAGACGAGCTTCTCGGCTTGGTCGTAGAGGTTGTAGTGGAGATAGTTCCTCAGCAGCAGGTTCAGGAGGGTGGCCTGGCCGTCTGCGTCGTGCCGCAGCGTGGCCGTCCGGAGCCGGGCGTGCAGGAAGCTGCAGGGAAGGGAGAGAACGTGGCAGGGAGGAGGAAAGCAGCAGCCCTGGCTCTTTGGGGTGCAGGCCCCAGCCTACCTCCTGACCACGTCGAGTTTGTTCAGGAACTCGTAGATGCGGGAGTGGTAGTAGTAACATTTTGCCACCACCAGGTCAAGGGCCCGGCGGTTCTGGGAGCTGATCTTTTGCATCAGGTCGTCAGACACCTTCTGAGCCTGCAGGAGGGGAACAGAGCTCAAGGGGCAGGAAACGCTGCTCTGAAGAGCACAGAGGCTTCCAGGGCAGCAGGACTGAGCCCAGGGCTGCCTCCAGATGCAGCCAGAACAAAGCGGGAAGTGTGGGGACACAGACAGGCGGGTCCCCAGGGTTCTGCAGGCCCTGCCTGGTGCAGGAGCACCACACAAAGAGCTCAGTACCCGAGCTGGCAGCTCAGGGAACCTCACCTCTGGGTATCGCTTGCTGTTCATCAGGTAGATGACCAGAAGCAGCTGGAGGTAAGTCTCCACTTCTGGCAAGAGCGGGGCTGAGGCC